TAAAATTGACAAAAATTAATAATAAAACAAAATTAGCGTACGGTGTGGATAAAAATATAATTGAAATATTCACACAATTAGTAAATATTACATATGATATAATTGATTGCAATGGAAACTATGCTAATGTTATCAATAATACATTGGATATTAATAATAGTATTGTYGGACTATTAAGCAGTAATGTAAGTATTTTTTTTGTTAAGTAAATWACTGTACAATAGTATAAATAATATCTATCATTAATTAATTAYMTTTAAAAACAATTAMATATTTTAAATTATAAATATAATTTTTTAAATTAGCAAGCTGATATTGGCATTGGATCAATTGCAGTGATAACTRACAGGTTTTCATTAATTGATTATTTATATCCATATATTATCGATAGCACAACATTTTTATCACCAAAACCAAGTTATAATTATTTTGTTAATYTATTTAATATATTTGATGTACCTAGTTGGTTTTGTATATTTATATCATAYATTATATTATTAATTATACAAATTATGTTTTATAATCATTCATTTATCAAACAAACAATGATTAAAGTTTTTATGAGACAATCGACACAATTTYCATATATAAAAACAACATCTAATCGGATACTTATAATTGTTTGGTTGATTGCGTGTCTGGTGTTTAGTACATGTATTGCTGGAACTGTTTACTCGTTGACTACCTGTCCCAATGAAATCAAAATTGAAACCATTAATGATTTAATAAAATATACTAAAAATGGATATTTAAAAATTATTTCATGGAATGGGTTGTCGTATAAAAATGTTTTTAGTGTAATAATAAATTTAATTTAAAAAATTAATTTATTTATTACTAAAAAAAACTAATAATTATATATCGGTTATAATAATAAWTTTTTTTATATTACAGAATAAAAATGACTATATTTTTCGTGAAATAGGAAATATGATTACAGTTACAAATTATAGCAATACAATCAAATATCTTATATCAAGTCAAAAACATCAGACATTGTGTGGACAAACATTAATCATTGCAACTCGTATTCATATAAAAAATATGTTAAATAAATATAATATAACCACCCATTATCTCCCGGTGCCCAATGAATATAATTCTCTAGCATTAAGTTTAGAAGGAATAGCATTGAGACAACATTTTCCACTAAAACAAAAGTTTAATAAAATGTAATTATATTTAAATTAAAAAAATAATATTTACTGTATATAAACTCATAATTTTWTTAATACAGATTAAGTAATATAAAAAGTGCCGGTTTATTGGATATATGGTTTGAGAAATATTTTACTGTAAATGAGACCAATAATTCAATGAATAAAATTAAAAATTTCAATAAAAATGCTCATAAAATATTATCACTAAAATTGTCTAATTTTAGTACAGTTTGGATAGTATATGTATTTGGCATTATATGGGCTATTATATCAATAATTTTTGAAATTATAATTTATTTGTTTATAAAACCTCTGATACTAATCGAGTTTTTAAATAATAATAATTATTATTAGTGTATTTAGTTTATATCAAATAAAATTAACTAAAGTTGTTATAAATTGATGTTATATACAATATTAAAATATTGTAACTGTACTGATTATTATTCAATACTAGTAAATGTTAAATTTTATTGTGTATTATTTTTTAATAATATTATTGTATTAATCAATATATGATGTTTGAGTTAATTATATCATATTTAGGTTTAATGTTTTTTCATAATTAATGTTTTCTCATAATTAATGTTTTTTCATAATTAATGTTTTTAAGTATTCAAAATAAAACCTAAGCTATTTTTTTAACAAAAGTTTAAATTGAAATTATAAAAAATAAGTTTATTTTAGGAATTATAATATAATATTTTATACAAAAAATATTTAAGTAATATGACTTTACTTATAACATATAACTTAAATGAWATGAATAGTTATAATTAATAAATTAATAATATAAATATATAATRTTAATAAAAAATAATAATATTATAAAAATAACAATTTTTAACATTAAGTTATTAATATTGATTTATTTTTATTAAAAAAATAAACATTATATAAACATTTTACTCAATAAATAAATATTTTCTAAATGTTATATTTACTTTAAGCTATTTATATATTCTATTTAAAAAACACTGTTTAGTTGTTATAGTATTATTATGAAAAATATTATATTTAATATATTAAAATTAAATTGAAATAATGGAATATTTTTAATATTGTTGTATTAATTATATAATAAAAAAGTATGAATTATACTAATAATACTAATTTAATAATTGCTGCTGTTGAGGTAAGTAAACTATATAAAAAATATCATAATAATTATAAATAATACATTTTGTATAATAACATTAATAATATTTATGTTTATTCAATATATAATCATAGTTTTTACCGTTTGTAAAATTGACAAAAATTAATAATAAAAYAGAATTAGCGTACGGTGTGGATAAAAATATTATTGAAATATTCACACAATTAGTAAATATTACATATGATATAATTGATTGCAATGGAAAATATGCTAATTTAAACAATAATACATGGGATTGTCTTATCGGACTATTAACTAGTAATGTAAGTTTATTTTGGGTTCATAATTATTTTTTAAAAAAATTAAACCAATAATTAAAACTTATTATATATATATTTATTAAAATTAGCAAGCTGATATTGGCATTGGTGCATTTTCATTGACAACTACTAGAATGCCAATTATTGACTATTTATATCCACATATTATCGATAGCACAACATTTTTATCRCCAAAACCAAGTTATAATTATTTTGTTAATTTATTTAATATATTTGATGTACCTAGTTGGTTTTGTATATTTATATCATACATTATATTATTAATTATACAAATTGTATTTTATAATCAGTCATTTATGAAACAAACATTGTTTAAAGTTTTTATGAGACAATCGACACAATTTTCATATATAAATACAACATCTAATCGGATACTTATAATTGTTTGGTTGATTGGATGYCTAGTGTTTAGCACATGTATTGCTGGAACTGTTTACTCGTTGACTACCTGTCCCAATGAAATCAAAATTGAAACCATTAATGATTTAATAAAATATACTAAAAATGGATATTTAAAAATAATTTCATGGAATGGGACATCATATAAACATGTTTTTAGTGTAATTATATAAATTTATTAGTAGGAAATCTAATAATTATATATTTTAATAATAAACTTATTTTTATATTACAGAACAAAAATGATTATATATATCGTGAAATAGGAAATATGATTACAATTATAGATAATAGTCTTRARGTAAAAGATATGATATTAAATGAAACCGATCAGACATTGGGACCTACAGTAGTCATAGGAAATCGTCTATATATGACACATATACTGAATAATTATTATCTAACCACCCATTATCTCCCGGAGCCCAATGAATACAATTCATTGTCGTTAAGTTTAGAAGGAATAGCATTGAGACAACAATTTCCATTAAAACAGAAATTTAATAAAATGTAATTATCATTTTTTTTAAWAATTATTTACAATATATAAAAATTATAAATAATTTTATAATTTATTAAATTCACAGATTAAGTGATATAAAAAGTTCCGGTTTAATGGATATGTGGTTTAATAAATTTTCAACTGGAAATAAAACCCATCAATCAATCAATAAAAATACTCATAAAATATTATCATTGAAATTGTCTAACTTTAGTACAGTTTTGATAGCATATGTATTTGGAAATATGTTTTCTATTATATTAATAATTTTTGAAATAATAATCTATTTGTTTATTAAACCTCTGATACTAATTGAATTTTTAAATAATTATTATTATTACATTTGAATTTATTTTAAAACACAATTTTTCTTAATAAATAAATGTTAAAATTATAATTAAAGTTGTTTTTTAAATAATTATGATTATTTTTATATAAATTTATATTTTATTTTATTTAATTTTTTATATCTATAGATGTTTCAATGATTTAATATTAAAAAACTTACATTTTTTTTTAATTATTATTAATATTTTGTTTATTATTTTTTAATAAACAAAAATTTAATTACATTACTACTGTATATACAATTTACTTGACAACATAAAATTAATAAACTATGTTATTTATTTAATCTATTGAAGTGGAAAATATTTGCATTTACTAAAAACAATAATATATTCTTAAGCAATATTAAATAATAATCAAATTTATATAAAATAGTGTAAACAAAAATAAGTCTCTATTATAATAATAATTTAATAGTAATTAACTAAAAATAATGAATAATAATAATAGACAAAAATTATAATTGCTGCTAATGTAAGTAATTTGTTTAATTAATTATAACTATATATTTTTTAATAAACAAATAATTAATGTTTCTGATAGTATCCAATTTTACCAAAATTACCAATTTTAGAGCTCAAATATAACAATGTTTTTAATAAAACTTATAATTATAAAAAATATAATTATTAAAATTTACGCAACTATAGTTATGGTTTACAATCCTTAAATTTATTTAATTTTAGTACAATTTGGATGACATACAATTTGGGTATTATTAAAATGATATTAGAAATTGTTATTTATATTTTCATTAAACCAATTGTTATTATTTTATTTTTCAACTAATCATATGCTAAAGTAGTAATGAAAACTTGTGTATATATCATTTAATTAGTATATACAGTCGAGAACCGATAAAGACAAGTGAATTGGTTTTACAAATTTATTGCAATTATCGATTCCTTGCATTTATCGGTACTATAAGTAATACATAATAATATTGTATAATAGTTTATTACAATCAATTTATATAACATATTAATTAGTTTTAGTAAAAAAATCAGTAATTTTAGTTTGTTTTGCAACAGTAAGAGATATGTTAAGAATTTGTTTATGAAAATCATTCAATTTTTCTGCCATTAATTGATTTGAATTTTGATAAAAATATTTTTGCAATAAATTAAGTGAATCCAGAGCTCTTGAATTACTAATATTATCATTGATTGGATTATCAATTTCTTCTTCATCTGATTGTATAGTATGTTCAGTATTAGTAGTAGACATGACTTCAGCGACAATTTGTTCATCAGTTAGATGCTCCTCAGTATCAACAATATTGTCATCAAAAGTAACATATTCTTCAAATGTATTGAAAGCTAAATTAGTTTTATCTTTTAGTTGATTCCATACATTGTCATCACATTCAACTTCTTCGGATATTTGTATAGTAGTAGTAATAGTCATACGATTAAAGTTAAAATTTGCTTTAGAAAAACAGTTAATAATTGTCTCATTTGTTATTAATTTTAATGATTTGTCGACAAAACACATGCATTGAAACAAATCAATGGGTTTTATATCATTGTTGGATTCAAGTCTAATAATCAAATCATTAATTAGTTGCTTTCTGTAGTATGACTTGAGTGACCGTATGATTCCTTGATCTAATGGTTGACATCTTGATGTTGTATTTGGTGGAAAAAACTTGATTTTAACATTTGAAAACTCGGTATCAATGATATGTGTTCGACAATTGTCGACAAATAATAAAACATTTTTGTTTTTATTTTTCATTTTTTTGTTTAATTTGTTAATAATTTTTTCATAGATTTGTGAACTAATCCAAGCATTTTTTTGATTGTAGTAATCTATTGGAAGTGATTTGACTCCTCTAAAACAGCGAGGTTTAGCACTTTTGCCAATCATTATAATATATCTGTCACTTCCATCAGCATTTGATATCATCACAAGAGTTATCTTATCTTTGTATTTCTTTTTTCCACTTTTTGATTCAGTATCGAAACCATATGTCTTCGATGGTAATAATCGCCAAAATAACGATAGTTCGTCTAAATTATACACACATTTTGGATCCTTATCTTTAATCAAATCAGCCAATTCTTGAGTCCATTTTTGTACAGTACTTTCGGCGACACTATCACTCTCTCCGTGTTCTGTCATAAATATAACACCATTTCTGTGCTTAAGACCTCTTAGATATCCTTTTGTTGGTTTGAAATCAATGTTTAATTTTTCTGCAAATTCTTTTGCTTTGTTTACTAAAATATCTCGTTATTACCGCTTTCTTCGCTTTATTTGATCTCATTTGTCTCATCCATATTACTAATGACTCTTCGACTTCAGGATATTTAGCATCTTTTAATCTATACGTCTTTGAGCTGATCTTGTCTTTAATTGATTCATATTTTGCAATAATTTTTTTCTCATTTTTCTTAATTTGGGTCAAATTGTAATAATCTTTAAGTTTGTATTCACTAATTATTTCGGAATTTTTAACACCATTTTTCATTTTAATTATGATATCATATTTGGTTTTAATTGATAATTTCAATCTGTTTGACGACATTTTGATCACAAAGACAATAAAAATATGATTTATTTAAAACACTGTTATTCAAAATTTTTACTGAAATATATAAAACAGTTTTACAGTTTATCAAAATGTGAGATTTATTGCATTTATTGATACTTTTTTACACTAAAGTAAACCTTTTTTATACTATAAATGCTTGTATATATCGATTACTTGCATTTATTGAACTTGTATTTATTGATACAGTTTTCTATGTATTAATTAGTGTTTGGATTTGGATTTTTAACTTTTATTGCAATTATCGATAACTTGCAATTAATGGTTATTGTCTTTATCGGTTCTCGACTGTAAATATAATACAATTTAATAATTATTTACAGTAATTACATGTGTTGTTGCTTAAAGTACTGACAGTTATTTTGTTAAAAAAATTAATTTGATTCCTCCTCGGGGGCCAATTTATGAACTAATATAAAAAATCTGATATATTTTATTATCATCTATTGATTAAAATTATAAACAAGATTTAAATAAATAAATTACTATAATTGAAAAACTTATATTTAATAATAAAAACAAATACCTGACTAAACAATGGGAATGTCATAACAGTCAGCGATCCGATAGAAACACCGATTTTCTTACGACTACTCAATCGTTCAAAATATATAAGTAGTTTAAGTTTGATGCGCGCCCTAAACGGCCAGCCATTSATTAGCCACTGCACGCGCGATAACTGACCACACATTTGATGGACACGTTTTGTAAACAATGCTAACATATATTGCATTATAAATAAGGCGACAAACATAAGCATTAATACCAGAAAATATATGACATTCATAATGACTGATAGATTGTTAAACAAAACCATATGTAGTATCAGTAGACTTGTCGGGAATATTGTGAACAAACAAACCAAAAATATCCGTTTATTTGAACTATTAAATCGATTTAATGTTTGACACATCAGGTTATGTTCAGAGATATATGTGATAAACTTTTGACTAACTGTGCTCTCAATGTGTTTAACGGATGATCTATTCAATGCAATTATTTGATTGACATAATTGACCAGGAGTAGTAAATATGYTATACTTAAATTAAGTAAATAAAAAGTAAMCATCAAATCCATAACAATAAGTATGCATACAATACATGTTACTATTATAAACGGTATGGCMATTAGGAATGTATATAATGTATAATGTTTAAATACTAATAGTAATAATAGTGCCATTAATGCAAATACTATAATAGATAAAATAAATAATTAATTTAATTAATATTATTTTATATTTTTATAAAATTATTAACAAAATTYCCGGACAATTCAAAAATAATTTATTTAATTAGGTTTTAATTAATTATTTATTAAACAACCTCGTGCATTATTAAACAAACAAAAACATGTTTCCGGTATTTTGTTTTTTAAATTTTATTTTCTAGAAAAATACCTARATAATAAATTGAAAATGTCATCACTTTAATTAGTATATTTGATATCTTGATTAGTTTTTTGTTTCTATTATTATCAAGTTTATTAATTGATGATTTACAATYGATTAAATTATCATTTTGTTTATTAATTAGCGAAACAATATCCAAATAAATACCAATTGATTTATTAGTTGAAACACGTATTATATAATGCGCTGTAAAACTTAATGATGTCATTAAGATAATAAAAATACAATTATATTTAGTTATACCACCAAATAATATTGAGGCGTCAAATAATATCAAAGCAGTTGTTTTATCAATAGTTATAAACAATCCTAAAATATATTTGAATAAATAAATTGCGTAAAATAGTGTAAACATTTGATGCAAACATTTTGTATTTCGATTTTCATTATTATTTAATCTGTTATTAATTATTAATATATAGTAATTCACAATTTTGGACATTATTTCTAAAATTTAATTTTTAAATATAAATAAAATTGCGTTTTTATATCAATATATAAATACAGTATATATTGTACTTAATTTACTAATTTTGTTTTTTGATTTGAAAATATATACCAGTAATACTTATAAAATATTAAAATGTTATTTCAAATTTATAAATTATTATAAATGCAATTATATAATTAACTTTGATAAACTACATATAATTTATTTTTTTTAAAGTTTTAATATTTGTAATGTCAAATAATTAAATAGGTTTATATTACTGAATAGGACATTATGTAATAAATTAAATATAATGATTATAATAGAAATGAGTAAATAAATTTTTTTTTGTAAATTTCTTATAAGAATATTTTTTTTAATATATTAATTTTTTTTCTTTGATTATTAATTAAAATACTACTCATAATTTTTAATTATTTTTTGTGATATAATAAAATTGTATTTAAATGACAAATATTAATAGAAAAAATTAGCTTGGCAATACCATAGACATGTTAGAAACTTTTTGGAAATTTTCTTTTATTTTGCTAACAATTATAAAATATATTTATGTAGTTTTAATGTAAAACATTTATCTTAAATTATTATTATTTCGAATACAATCAAAAGTTAAATAGCAATTAAATGTAATTAAATTTATATTACCATGACAATTTTAGTTTATTATTATGTTATTTTTTATGATATTTAATGTATTATTTACATGTAATAATATAATTTATTAATCTGAAAAAACTAAAATAACTATTAAGGTAACTTAAGTAAATTAGATAATATATTATACAAATAGAGTATGTAATCATAATAAATAATACTAAGACTTAAATATTTTTATTAAAAATTTTATTGAAATTCAAAAATAAATTTTTAATCAAAAAATTTATTAAAATCAAAAATTAATATATTATTACTGTATATACTTTATAAACATTAATTATTTAAAAATTATAAACATTTAAAATATTTGTATTTAATCTCTAAATTTTAGAAAATCTTTACAAAATATATTTATTTTATATATTTGTTTTGTATATTGACTTTCCTTATAATAATTTATTTTAAATATTATTTGCAATAATAAATAATTATCTAATTTTATTAATATTGTATATATTGTATAAATATTAAACATGAAATATTATCTTTAGTATAAATTATTTTTAAAAAATTATAAATCATAATTAAAAGTCTATAAATTTTTTTCAACTGTAATAATATCATATATATTATGATATATTAATTTAGTTGAAAACTTTGAAATTTTTTTGTTGATATAAATTATAATAAATGACATTTACTTTTTTTTATATATTTTAATATCAAAATAATATTTTATCATATTTATTTTTTTAATATTACATAATATTATATCTAAAAATAAACTATAATATATGAGTTAGACCTATAAGATAAATAAATTAGTTTAAATAGTGATATTTAGTTTATCGTTGGAAATTTTTTTAGTAAAATATTTTTTTCAAAAATATTATTATTAATAATTCATTATTATTTTATAATATATTTACTTTATTTGATATTGTTTTCAAAAAAATAATTATACATTAATTATAACAATTATAATGAATCATCCTCGGGGGCCAATTTATGGACTAATATGAAAAATCTAATATATTTCATTACCATCTATTAATTAAAAATATATTAATAATTATAATTAGCTAATTTAAAAATAAATTTTAGTAATATTTAAAAAATTTATTTAATATTATCATTTCATACCTGACTGAACAATGGRAACGTCATAACAGTCAGCGATCCGATTGAAAATCCGATTTTCCTATTAGTTGTATTCAATCGTTCAAAATATATAACGAGTCTAAGTTTGATGCGCGCCCTAAACGGCCAGCCATTGATTAGCCACTGCACGCGCGACAAATGTCCGCGCATTTTATGGGCACGTTTTGTAAACGATGCCAACAGATATTGCATTATAAATAGTCCGGCAAACATTAGCATAAGTACTACAAAAAATACGGCATTCATTATAATTGAAAAGTTTGTAAACATAATTAAATGTAATATTAGTAGACTAGTCGGGAATATTGTTAACAGGAATACCAAATATAATCGTTTGGTTGCTTTATTCATACGATTCAATGTTTGGCACATCAGATTGTGTTCAGATATATAGGTGCTTATCGTTTGACTGTCTGAGTTACGGCTCACTATTGATCTACCATTTTGTCCAATTATATCGTTTATGAAATTGATCCGGAGCAAAAAATATGTTACAGATATTGTTAGAAAATAGAAAGTCACCATTAGATCCATAATCATTGTCGTTGATATAATTAATGTTAATATTTTGAACGGTATGGCCATTAAGTATATATATAGTGTATAATGTATAAATGATAATGCTAAAAACATTATTATCGATCCAATTGCTATAGTTTAGATACAATTGATTTTTTAGAAAAAATAAATATTTAAAAAACTTATAATGTTAAAATAAAATCATTGACAAATTTTCAGGTTTATAATAAAATTTCTAAAATATCCTTAAAAAAACTTTTTAGTTATTATTAAAAAAAAACAACTTACAAAATTATTATAAAATATGATAACTTACAAAATGTTTATTAAATTTTTTTGATTTTATTATTATATTTTCTAACCAAATAATTTATTAAACAATTTAGCAGTTTATTAAACACAAAAAACTTGTACCCGGAATTTTGTCAAAATTTTTTAATTATTTATGTATTCAAAAAAAAAAAATAAATACCTAAATACCAAATTGAAAATGTCATTAATTTAATTAAGATATTTGAAAACTTTCTAAGTTTTCTATATCTTTTATTATCAAGTATTGATAATTTAGTAATAAAATTATTATTATCATTATTAGCCAATAATATAATATCTGAATAAATACTAATTGATTTATTATTTGATACATGTAGTGTATAATGTACGGTAAAGTGTAATATTGCCAATAAAATAGCTTCTAGACGATTGTACTTGGTGATACCACCAAATAATATTGATAAATCAAATAATATTAAACTAGTTGTCCTGTCCATAGTTATAAA